TCTTACGGGACGTGACAAGCACTTGCGTTTATCCCGTGATAAATTATTTTTCATTGTACCGGATCTAAGCCTGGATGAATATAGTGCTTTAAATCTTTCCGCCTATTTAATCAGTACCAGATATGCCTCAGAATGAATTCATCCACCAAGGTGATTCTCACTGGTCGACTTTGTTGATTTTTTTCCGAGACGGCTAGTTTACACCATTATCAACCAGTCCACCCGCACGTCGAGGAGCCCAACAATTAAGCTCTCTAACTACTCGACCTCATGATCTTGTCGTAACTATACCATTCCCCGGCCAAGTTGTCCTCTTGGGCAACAGAAACAATCTGAGGGGGCATTCAACATGAGTCTACTCAAGTACTTTGTTCCGTGCGTACGCAAGTCACTTGTGTAGGTGTGTAGGTGTGCGTGTATGGCCCGTCGCCTTCAGCCAATTAGACCTCAGACGCATTAAGTCATAGGGGTGCAGGTGGGACGCTTCAGCTCACACGCACGGAACAAATTAATTGAGTAGACTCATGTTGAATGCCCCCTCAGCTTATTTCCGTTGCCCAAGAGGACAACTTGGCCTGGAAATGGTGTAGTGTTGGATCATTGGACTCAGGTCATGGAAGATCTTGAGGTCAAAACGTCACTGGTCGGCCAAAGTTGACCTTAAATGACGAGGGCTTTCTCGCGCTTCAAGTGGTCTGGCCTGTCTTTGATTTGCTACGGCTAAACGCTTCATTTTTCTGTCTTTTCTTTCCTTGTTCTTTCCAGGTGTCTTCCTTACACAGGTCTTCACACAGGGACATCTGTGCCTAAAGAATACAATGCAGGTGCAATATTCGCGTCATGTGGAGCTGGACGGTTGCTAATTGCTGGACTTCGTGCCGGTGAGTTTACACGGGACAAGTAAGAATGCTTATCTGAAACTTTGAGGCGCTTCTGTCCAGTTATCTGGGCCAAGCGCACGGAGCTGCTCTCAACGGAACTATTCACACTACAAAGGGGTTTGCGATTCTGATCTACTACGGCTGTATCTCGTTTCGGCAAGTTGTACGCAAAGTTTGAACGAAATCATTTTGGATTTTTAGAATGCCGAAAATGCTCGATCGATAGTCCAATGCATGAAATATGGAATTTAACCTGATTCTTCACACATGTGGGTGAATTTGCTCGATTTCCGACAACCTTGGAACATGAACCGCAATGTAATTGTGTCTGCATTATGAAAAATCCGAGACCAAGAGGGTGGCCAATTGTAAAGCACAAAGCAATAGTAAGATCTCCGAAGTTAAACAGATATAACAAAAGTGTTAACGATCGAAAAATCCAGAATCAGAAATAAAACTGAATGCAACTGTAATTTCTACCAAATAATCCCAATGCACGAAGAAATCTAGCAAGCAATTATCTTGTTACCGCAGCTAGGAAAACAAACCGGAGGTCGCTAGCCGCAGCCAGACTTTAAGGCAACTTCACTGAATGCTGAATGCCGTTTTATGGGCAAAAGTAAAAATGTGAATCTGTACAATTCCAACGAAATTTGATACAAAACGTCAAAAAAACGATCCATGACTTGTCAATACCCTGATTTTTTGCCACCTTATCACGTGACAGTCGATAAGAACTCACAAATTTGAGATGTCAGCAGGTAATTGCTCTCGGAATCATACATTTGAGAAATGCACATCCAACAACCGTTTGAACTGCTGTACTGGGATTGTTTCCACTAAATGCTCCTGCCAAGTGCTCCCAACGTTTACCACCCGTCGTTCGAAGCACAAGGGATGGGGAACTAGCTTCATACCTAGAACCGCAAGCTGCAAGGTGTTCGCAAGTGGAGCAATGGCCTCAGTATGGGTTACCTAAATGTAGAATGCGATAGGTCGACTCGCAACCGGCGATAGGCCAGGGTGTACAGTCCTAACCTCTCATCATAATTGAAGCCCCACAAATCATGGATAAGCCTGGTGGCAACTTGTTGCACCCGTTCGATCTTATGCGTCTTACCTCGAGTGATCGAGGAATAAGCGAGCGGGCTGTGCATTAACATTCGTCTGATGGGGGAGTAAAAGTGTCCAGTAACAATTTCTTCAAACCAAATGTAGAAGCTGCATTTGAGCACCCAGATCATACGCAGCCCCTTTCGGTGTAGCTAGTTCGTATTGTCCGCGGACTTCAAATCATCAAATAAGGGTACGCCATGGTTCTTCATGGAAGATGTGGGATTTAGCGGTTAACAGTCAAGTGTGTAGTTTCGGCTGACAGCAGCCTTCCCCATGCTTATGAATACCAACGTTCTTGGGTTGATTGGGAGGCCGACTTCCGCAGACCACATGGAAAGGCGGTTTAGGACTTACTGAAGTAAGCCGCAGTCGTCGCAGGTGCTTATCACTTCTGGTCAGCTGAAAAACGAAACACACGGTGACTGGAGAAGCTGAGGAATAATGTAGTCCCCAGCACCGTGCCTGGGGGTACGTCACTGGTCGAAAGGTATCAATCAGTCACATAGCTATGGTCTTGTACCTTCACTTTCGTCCAACAACAAACCATGCTGTGCGAGTGTGAGTAGATCTTTTGATCGAGACAGCTGTACCATACTCTTGTGCACGATTTTTCGGCAACCTGTGCCAACATAGGTGTCATAAAAAGTGGACAACAGTTATTCACTTTGCTGGAATTACTTCTTTTCGGAATGGGCATTATCATCAAGCACTTCCAACAAATAGACCGTGAACTTTTAAACAGCGACCCGTTGAACAAATCAGTTATCGCAGGAGAAATGACGGATGATAAGGATTTGAGCTTCAGTGTATGAAGTCCATCAGGCCCAGCGGGCTTGTTGCCTTCAGGACCGACGAGTAGTTGACGCATCTCTACCACACCCTACCACACCCCTGGCCATTTGTAAACACGGAAGCAAATTGCGCCGCTAATGCAAGTGTACGCTCAAAACTGGAGGCTCGGGGGTGTTCATCCGCGCCTTCTATCACTTGAAGATCCCCTGCCGGCTGCTGAACCGCTTCACGTTAGCAAAGATATTTTGGGGCAGTGCATAATTGAATTTAGCAAACGCGTTGTGTGGTTGGGTTGCGACTCGCAATCTCTATTGTGACCCCGGTTCACTTTGAGGTAAACCTCGATCATTCCGATCGAGAGGACCGCATCTGGAATGGAAATATTTGGGTGTTGCTCCTCCCAACACTGGCACAACACGACCGCGGTTTCTTCTTGTTTTGGACTCCTCAGGGGGCGATAGGCTGAACTGGGGTGCATTTCAGAGCATAATATTTCACGGCTGACGTTTTGAACACTATGCTACAGAGATCCGCGGGCAAAGCTTGGTAAAGGAGAGGTTGCGAGTCGCAACCCAACCACACAGCGTGTTCGCTAAATTCAACTTTGAATCGCTTTTCGCTGGGCCAAGCGTGGCTTGCGAATCGCAGTAGCATAGTGTTTAGGACGTCAGCCGTGAACTACTAGACTCTGAGTTCCACCCCTACCTCAGGGTACCTCTACCTGAGGGGTCTAATGCAGGAGGAAACCTCGGTCGTGTTGTGCCGGTGTTGGAAGAAGCAACACCCAAATATTTCCAGTTTTGGGGCTTTTGCAAGCTGCTTTTCGAAAGGCCGGCGCCTGCTTATTTCCGCACAGTGGCAACTAGTTTGCTGCTTTTTATATTCCACGTAGTCGTCCACCGAGACAGAAATAAGTAGTTTTTCCTAAACTCTGAACCGCTGCCGATCCACCCTACGAAATTATTTATCGAACCAATGTGTCTCGACCAGTCCGACTTTGCGACACTTGATAGACACCAACTGGTTACACATTGAATCTATTCCATACTTTATAGCTGACCAACAAGCTTCAACAGATGCAGATTGCGGTGGAGACCAATGCACTTGGCTTGCGGCTCGAGTCAGGCCGTCGAAATTTGTCTTCCAGTAGTTGGGACTTGGTTGCCATGCGTGGGATCGCTGCAGCGGCATCTCTATATTGGCAATAAAACTGAATTTTCGCTTGCTACCAGGGACTCCAGGATCAGAATGTCCGGCATATGATGTTCACAGCTGGTTTACATCAGGTCTAAGCAGCAGCCAATACAAACAACGGCTCAGAGTGCTGCGATAAAATGCGAAGTAGAACTTTTGTTTAGAATTCCCCAACCAAACTTAGAAACGGTTTCATCATGTTTGGCATGGCGTGAAGTAGATGGAAATCCACGGAGGGTGTGTGTGTCATGCGAAATGTGTCATGCAAGTAGCCATCTTTAGACATGCGCAATGAAACTCGCATTTGTCTGTATCGAACGTTAGTAGGAACAGAAATCTTAGCCGAATAGGCGGGAAGCTGCAGCACTTCAGACGTTCCAGATGCGACATGCTTTTCAGAGTGTGTTTTAAAACATTTTTACGGAAATGTGTTGGCCGCACCCCTGTCTACAGGGCTTGATTAATCATGTACAGTAGGAAATAGTCTGATTGCTTTGAATTACTTCACCACATTCTCAGACAAGAGCCAGTTCGAAGAATACCAGTCACAATTCACCACAGTTTAATTAATGCAACCTGAACTCAGATAAACGTTCTATAGACTGTGATCACTGAACCGTACAGCGGATAATAGTCTGCGGTTAGTTTAAAATGCTAGCCCTTTCACACGGTTGGTTGACAATTCGAACCCATCTAAACATCCACAGGCATAGCCGCAACTATTAAGGTCTATATCCGTTTGTTGGTTTTGTATTTTTTCTATCAGTTCGGATGCACATAAACCAAAACTGCTCCAATGTAAACTGGTTCAGTATGGAAACTGAGACCACAACTGGAGCTTCTGGTAACTACGAATTATAAGATTTAACCTCCAGTCCCGGTTGCCTCTACTTAAAATTGCAAAGATGATGAAATGAAGTGGAGTTTAAATTAAGAACTTTGTGATGCATTCGAGTTTTCCACATCATGCGACACCGTCACCAATAAAACAGCGTCAAGTAGGATTTTTAAACTTACACAGATATTGTCGCATTCCAGTGAGAGCGATTAGGAGGAGCAAGATGAGAGTTGTGATTTGGTAATTCAGTCTGTCAATTTGATCGTCATCCCCGATTAATCGAGAAGTGCCCACGCGAGCCCATCGAACCAGACTGAGAACAAAAGTAGGATCACTGAAAATCTTGCTGTGACGTCCACTGAATTCATGACCCATAACAGGTGAGGGATGCAGCTGCGGACTGGGAATCCCAAAGTCGTATTTAAGTTCATCGAACAGAAAGCGGCAGGAGGGCACTGAATCTTTGTACATGTTGGAGTACATGAAACCACCGTCATGTTTTAACTTATCGGTGGTGCGTTTTCGTCGGAACATTCGTTCTTCCATAGACCATTGATACCACGATGCTGAGCGTTCTGACTGCCTAAATGCATCATTCAGCGATGGTTCTCTACTGAAGTCGGGTCTGTTTTCCTGTGCACTGCAACAAGTAAAAGAGTCTTCTACTGGTGTTCCATCTGGGCATGTCACATTCTGTCTAACGGTGGTGTTTGGATTTGAAGGCACTGTCGAATGCACGATGATAAGTTCATTCATAATGGTCACATCTTAAAGGGAAATTCTCCTGTGCGATGCAAAAGATAGAAACAGCAAAGCAATGAATTAATGGATCCTGGTTTATGTCAACGAAATACGTTAGGTTAACTAACACCGTGTGGGATGTTTTACAAAATGTATCCGCTAGAGTCGAGAGATTTGACTGGTGACCTCATGGACACTAAGCTGTTTTCGTTATTTCATGAGACCAGAAAATGGGTGCTAATTGCATGATATTCCCAAACTGAGGAGAATGAGGTTTTGGTATTTTCGCTTGTATTAAGCAGCAGGCCAAACGAATGAAATTGCTATGTTAAAATTGGTACCAATGCTAGTCTGTTTTATCACACAGCACGTGGAGTATTCGGTGCTCCATCCTCTTCAACAATCTTGTGTAGTTTGAGTTAATTGACAAAAGGTCTAAAAACAGTTGGTTGTTATTTTTGACCGAGGTTAATGTAATGGAAGGTTGAAAGTTTTATATCCACCTGCAATGCGGTAGAAAGCTATGCAGAACATTGCGACTGAGAAACTGTGCAACTTGGTCGAGGTTTTGCAGACTACACTAATTGCTGTTCGTAATATTAACAAGACAGTTTTATTCAAGGGTTTTCAGATAAACATTCGGCGATCAGCAAGGCTAACAAAGTTACTGCAGTCGAAAGGACTCTTGTGACTTGCAAAGTCGGAGATTCTTAATAGCACAGTCAATATCACTGTAAAATTTTAGTTTGGGGAGAAAAAACCGAAGCCGCGACATGTTGTATCATTTTTATGTGCAATTTCAACGGATCTTGGATTGTTATCTGCCATTCAATTCCTCTTTGTGTGCATATTCCTTCAACGGAAATGTTTGGAGGGATAACTAAGGCTTTTGAGTGAAAACTGTGAAAAACATCTTGTGCACTCTCTGCTCCGCTTTGTGGTGGATTTTCCTCTCCCAATTAATTACAAACCAACTAAATCCCACTCATTCGACTCGGACTTACCAGCACTATCCAGTAGATCGCAAAGCGAGTTTGCCAACCCCGGAACGTACTCCCAGACTCAGTTGTATCCTCCCCTATGTTGGACGTTTTCAAATCGATTAGATGTTGCTCTTAACTCTCAGCATTTTCTTACCTAAACTCCTCTATTGTGGATTACGCTAAGCATGCTTTTGTACAGTATTTATGTATCAAATGGACCCAAGTGAGAGACCACATTTTACTTTTCTTACGTCTTATATCAACGATCACTGCACCCCAGTGTATTTCTGAACGTTTAGGCTTGACTTCTTAATTTTACACGGATGTTATTTATCAAAGTATTCATATCGGCAGACATTTGATAGATGACCTAGGTATAGTTTGATTTATAATGTACCGGAATATACGCTGTTTCAGTATTTTGTAACATTGGAGTTTACGGGTGTTTTAATCTACAAAACGTCCACTTGTTTTACTGACGGCACATCTGTTGACACAGCGTTTTGGTGATTAACTTGTTGCACCGGTTCTCGCTCTGGTTGATTCGCTTCCTATTTTTGTAGCCTGCACAATATACGTTGGGTTTAGTCGCCTCAAATTTCTATACTGTCCCCTATTTGACACATCTCTTACGTGTCATTGATTACCAACTAGTATCCCAAGCTCCACCCAACAATTGGTGACCCGAGTCAGGAGCGCGCCGTCCGCCATTTTGAGTTTTCATTCTGGTGAGCTCCTTCCATTGACTGATTCAATACTCGGTATCGTTTTGTTTTCTCACTTGTTGCTTATACTTATTCATTCCTCATGGTGAATGATCCTGATGATAAACCATCTACGTACCTCGTTAGTGCCGTAGAGCTAGCCTCCTCACATTTTTGGGAGAATGACCCGTTGTTATGGGTTACGCATTTAGAATGCACTTTTACAATTGTAAAATCTCTTCTGATAATGTCAAATATAATCAACTTATGTCCCAGCTTCCGCAAAGTCTATCCTCCCAGGTGAGAGAGTCATAGCTTGCCCCCTCCCGATGCGAAATATGAAACTTTAAAACAGGAGATCATTCAGCAAATCACGCCCTCTGACAAGGTCCGACTGCAGCAACTGTTTAGGGATCTGCAGCTAGGGAACAGGTTGACTTCAGCCTTGTTGCGACAGATGCAACAGCTACTAGGCACATCCAACATGGAGGCAGGGATTCTCCGCAAAATGTGAATGCAACGCCTCCCGGAAAACACACAGGCCATCCTTGCCAAGGCAAGCGACCTGCCTTTCGCAGTAGTTGCAGAACTAGAAGACCGTGTCATCGAACTACTTCATCCAACGCACGAATCTAGGGCATTCACTCGACTTAGTGCCGTCGCAGCCCCAGCGACATCCGTGACAAGTGAGACGTCAGCAATCGACGCTTTAGCATCGCAAATAGCGTCACCACAAAGCCAAGTCGAGAAACTCCCGCTAGCTCGTAAGTTGCGCAGCCGCTCTAGCCCATCACCTCGTCTCACGAAGCGTAACAATTCAGGCTTTTGCTTTTACCACTAGCGTTTTGGCAAAAAGCCCGTAAGTGCGAGCAACCATGCAGTTTCTCCGCTACCAAGCAGGGAAACTTCCAGGCCGGCCCGTAATTGCGACTGACGGTGTCGGCAAAGCCCAAAGTCCTCTCATCTACATTAGGGATTAGGATTCCGGGACCCAGTGCTTAGTTGATACCGGGGCGGAAGTCAGCGTCATTCCCCCTATGCCAGGTGAGTTTCTCGCTTCTTTGTCGACAAGCCTCAGTGCCGTCAATGACAGGCCAATAGCCACCTACGGTCATCGGTCGCTTACCCTGGACCGAGGTCTTCGGCGCACGTTCCACTGGGTATTCACCGTTGCTGCAGTCCCCTTTGCCATCATCGGCATTGACTTTCTCAGGCATTTCGACCTCTTGGTCGATGCGAAACTCCAAATGATAGTCGACGCTGAAACAAACCTCAGTGTACGTGGCATCACTGCCGATGTCACATCTATATCCCCGGTCTATGCATTTCCCCAGACCTCGTCAGACTACGCTAATCTCTTTTCTCAGTATCCCAAATTTGTTCAGCCAATGAACGCAGCTTTGCCCGTGGCAGCTCAAGTCACGCACCACATACGGACGAATGGCCCACCTGTGTGACGCCGTCCACGCCTACTATCGCCCGAGAAACTACAGGTGGCTAGGGCGGAGTTTGAGCACATGCTTGAACATGGAATAATCCGCCCTTCCGACAGCACTTGGTTCTCGCCCCTGCAGATGGTCCAAAAGAAATCTGGTGACTGGCGTCCTTGCGGTGCTTACCGCGCACTTAATCGACTAACCGTTCCAGATAGGTATCCCATCTCACACATGCAGGACCTTACCGCCAGCCTCACAGGTAAGACTATCTTCAGCTAGATCCAACTGATTCGCGCCTATCTCCAGATACCTGTAGAAGAAAATGACATTCCTGAAACAGCCGTTATCACTCCTTTCGGCCTGTTTGAATTTTTAAGCATGTCATTTGGACTGTGCAACGCCGCACAAACCTTCCAACGCTTCATCCATGATGTCACTCGTGGCCTAGATTTCGCTTATTCCTACCTCGATGATATGTTAGTAGCCAGTTCATCTGAACAAGAGCACCTCGAGCATCTTCGAACTCGCTTCCAGCGCTTGACCCAACACGGTGTCACAGTCAACCTGACTAAGTGCGAACACGGCAAGTCAATGATAGAATTCCTAGGCCATCTCGTTTCATCGTCTGGTATCGAAGTCCTTCCTGATAAGATGCAGACAATCAAGGAGTTCCTAGCTCCGACTTTGTTCAAGCACCTCCATCGATTTTGTGGTTTGGTCAACTACTGTTGACGCTTCATTTCGCACTGCGCTCAGCTCATGCAGCCTCTAAGCCACCTACTCAGAGGAAATGAACGTAAGTTCGCTTTTCCTGACACAGCACAGGCAGTCTTGGCAGAGCTCAAGGATGCTATCTCTAACATAGCCCTCCTCGCTCATTTCCAATCGACTGCGCCCCTTTCTAGTACGAATGATGCATCAGAGGCCGCGGTAGGAGCCGTCCTCTAACAAAACTTTGGTGGACAATGACAACCCCTCGGGTTCTTCTCCAAGCCCTTGCAGCCAGCGGAATCCCGCTACAGCACTTTTGGCAGAGAACTGCTCGCCATTTATCTAGCCATTCGTCACTTCCGGCACACACTCGAAGGCCGCGCTTTCACGGTCTTCACTGACCACAAGCCCCTCATCTTCGCCTTCAACTCTGCTTGCGACAAATACTCACCACGGGGAACAAGACACCTAGACTTTGTCACGCAGTTTACAGCTGGCATACGTCATGTCTCAGGTGTCAACAATCCCGTTGCCGAGGCTCTCTCGCGCGTCAAGCCCGCTCTCCAGTCTTTGCATACCGTCGACCTTGCCGCCATGGCATCGGCTCAGACTCAAGACGAAGTCATACAGCGCACTTTGCAGTCCAATTTTCTGTAGGTGCAACCTGTTCCTCTCCAAACCACGGAAGGAACCATTCTCTGTGACATTTCCACAGGTTGTCCTAGACCCCTCGTGCCCGTCTCCTTCAGACGCACAGTCTTTGCCGCCCTGCACTCACTATCACATCCCGGTATCCGTGCATCTTCCAAATTGGTCACCGAACGTTACGTTTGGCCACGCGTAAACAAAGTGTTCGTACCTGGGCTCGCGCCTGCCTTCAATGCCAGCGCTCCAAAGTACATCGTCACAACCGCAGTCCTCTGGGTTCATCACCTTCCCCAGACTCTCGGTTCGGGCACGTACAGTTAGACCTGCTAGGTCCCTTACCTCCGTCACGCGGCTTCGTATACATTCTTACATGTGTTGACCGCTTCACGAGATGGCCAGAAGTCATTCCCGTAACAGACTGCACAGCTGAGACTGTTATCCGGGCCTTCTTAGATCGGTGGGTCTCGCACTACGGATGCCCATCCACCATCACAACTGACCGAGGAACGCCTTTCGAATCTTTACAACCCGATACATTCTGCAACTTTTTAGGTTGCCGCC